CGTTAGGAAAGGAATAGGTATTACTAAAGTAAATAATAATCATAATTGTCCACGATCTAAAACTACCGTTCAAAGTCGGACAAGTTAGTTGTTAGGAAAGGAAATGGTATTACTAAAAGTAAAATATATCATAATGTTCCACATCTAAAACTACCGTTCAAAGTCGGCAGTTAGTTGTTGGAAAGGAAATGGTATTACTAAAATAAAATATATCATAATGTTCCACATCTAAAACTACCGTTCAAAGTCGGCAGTTAGTTGTTGGAAAGGAAATGATATTACTAAAATAAAATATAATTATATAATAAAAAACATGGTGATCAACTTGTAAACAAGATCTTATATTAATTCTAACATTCGTGACTTCTGGTTCTCATTAATAATGAAATAGTTTTTACAGGATCTAGAAACCTTAAATAAAGGAAAAACGTGTTTCAACACTCACACACATTGTTGTACGACTCTATACCAGAAAATTATTTTGAACGTCCTAGTCGGTTTTAAGTCTTTTGGTCGATACATTTATCAACCTGCAGATTTAATGACCTGATTTTAAAATGTTTATACTAAAAATATAAAAGAATTTATTAGCTTTGGTATTTATAATAATAAGTTGCTTTTAAACATAACCTTTACAAACAGGTTGTTAGTATCATTGTGGCTGCTAACTAATTTCCTAATTTAATTTTCTTGCTTCAATTTTTCTGAATAGTCAGATTATTACTATGTGTAATACTACCATATATTCTCCTTAATCAGTAATAGAAAATATTAGGTTTTGCACAGATTTTAATAGAAAAATACTCAATGGCTATGTCAAAATGAATATTTTGGATAAATATTTATAGTTTCCTCACATAACTGTGGATTTTTTTTCTTTCTTTATGCAAACATATGATAATTCTTCAGTTTTACTTAGATTTTGCAGAATTTGTAACAAATTGGATTACGTTCTTTCATAAGCCTAGCGTGACCCTGCTAATTAAAGTTCCGGACTGTGGACTCGAGAGTCCATGGCTTGCATCTCATTGCTGTAAAAAGAAAATTGTGCTACGCACTTTTAGGCCATTAATGCGTTATATGATCGATGGTAAAATCCAACTATTTGATTAGAGTAGCCCAAGAGTTGGCGGCGAGTGCTGTTTAGTAACTGCCTTTCCTTTAATCTACCAGTTCAAACTCAGGTACGGTTAGTGGGGATAACCTTTGGTCCATTTGTATTAAGATGTTTTATTTATTTTAATTGTATTATTTTTAATTTTGTGCTGCAATTAAGAGCAACTACCTTTCAACAATTGGAAGTATATTAGGCGTGAGATATTGTAATTTTGAGTAAACATATCTGCTCTATTTGTTTGTAATTATTATGCATTTTTATGAGGCTTGCAAACAGAAGTGTATCCCCACCACTGTGTGGACTTTAGTTCCATTGATGCCTTTCTTAGAAAAGCAAATTTTATCTTTCCCACTCCGTAGTTTGTATCGCAACTTCTTTATAATTTGTTTTATATATGACATTTTTTGTTTCTGTCTTTGTCGTTTGAAAAGGTACATTAGTTTTCCTTGAGATGTTAATATTAACATAAGGGTTATATAATCTTGGTAAATACATGTAGATGTATATATATATATTTAAACATACAATAAAAAGGAGAAATACCTTCGTAAGTTTCTTTGTTAAGTACAAAGCTACACAGTGAGCTATTTGTGCTCTGCTTACTTCAGTATCGAAACTCGATTTTAGCTTTATATACCCCTCAAACACTGAGGGACACCTTCATAATATTACATAAACTAAATAGATAATTTTTTCCATACAATAACACAAAAAAAAAATTCTGCATTTTATACTTATCTTTATAGAGTTTTGGAAGTATGTATCAAACAAGATTTCAGTAATGAATTGTTATCAGTTAAACATGTGACAGAATAAAGAAGATTTAAACCAAGTATTGTATATAGAGTCTTTGATAAAATTTGTAATGGTTCAATTTCAGTTTAAAATATGACATTAAAATCTGTTTTTGGTAAAACTATAAATTAGAAACTATAAATTTCTTATTTCTCAGAATTAAAAAATCAGTTATTTAATGTTTTTGAGAAACAACAAAAGTTCTATCCTATCATGAAGCTTATGGATAAGATTAAACAAATGTTGGAGAACACCAAAGATAAGATAGAATTAAAAGACAAAATTGGGATTTATAAAATATAATGTGAAGTGGTTGCATGTATATTGATCAAACTAAAATGAGTTTAAACTACAGGTTACATGAACATAAATTATAAGAGATAATAAAACTGAAACTTCAGACAGAGCAGAACATATATGAACAACACTACACTCAATTTTATTATATTAAACTATAATTCTAGCAAAACTCTACAGTACGACTGCTATAAATATTCCAGAATCATTTGAAATAGTAAAAACGAAAAAATTGTGTTAAACAGAGATGAAGATTCAACTGGTCATTGTATTGGTATATGGCGTGACCTAATGTAAAGGTTGGCCAGTAAGTTGAGAAAGTAACGTAGAACATAATATCACATGGCTTTTAATAAGTGGCTTTTAAATATTGAAGTCTTAGTCTTGTAAGTTACTCCTGAAGATGATATAGACGTGTCAAAACATGTGAAATGTTCTTAGGTGAAAGACGTCGAAGGCTCAATGAATATATTTAAATTGTGCATATGTAATTTAATTGATTGTTTGAAATTTATGTTAAGGAGTACTAGGGAAACACAAGTTAAATAAATTATAATTATTATTATGTTTTATTTCACAAAAGTAGAAAATAGGCGAGCATTAATATTATCTTTCAAATTAGATGTAATTATTATAAAGTGTTGAGTATATGTTGTTTGTATTAAAATTAATTTGAATATGCAAATCAGCAAGCTACATAACAAACACAGCTGATATAAAGTCAGTGGAGCTTCTTAGGTGACGTGATGTCAACAAAAATTGATCACGTTTCGGAAGGACATGCAAAAGCCCTTTCGGACGCAGAATATTCATACCCTCAGATCATAAAGATGTGTTCAAATCGGGATTTAGAATTTCCAAGACGGGATATCTCTTGTACTTCATGGAAAACGAAGGAGTATGGATCAACTTGGAGCACCTGTAACAAGTTGTAGTCCAGATATGGTAAGCAAGATGTGGTGGCTATATAAGGGTAGTGGCTAAAGTCATCCACGTCTCCCAGGCAACAATACGCAACATAATAAAGTAGGATCTCCGTCGGGAAAAGTGACACAAGTACGTGCACACAAGCTGCTTTCACGGTATATGTGTTCAGCTGTCACATACTTCAAGCAGCTAGAGAATGAAACGCATATTCATGTTGCTCCATACAACGACATACCATTCAAAATCGCCAAATTTATGTGCAATCAGGTTATTGAAATGTGCGCTGAGAAACCGTCGTCTTCGTACACGAAATGGATTACAAAAAAAAAAAACAAGACTTAAGACGTAGGCTACAGGGATGTTGTCAAGATGCACAGCTGTCAGATAGAGCATGATCGGACGTGGCGACCCGGACAGTAACGAAGTTACGAAGCTCCAATATCGTTTTAAGGTAACGCTCTCAACCTCTGTAGTAGTGATCTGCTTTGTATTCTGCATATTTCTGCTAAAAATGTAAATAAACTCGGTAAATACTCAAAAATTAGAATATCAGATGAATCTGTTAATGCGTTGTTTAGTAACCGTGTTGATAAATACAGGGACAATACTTAGGAAAAGGGAAGGTTTGAACTAAACAACGGGGTATTAGCGCTCTGTCCATCACGACGAGTCGAACCCTGGATTTTAGCTTTGTGTATTTTCAAGAGTTGAAAGAAGGTTTGATGCATCAAAATTAATGCTTTCAATTCTGTGATAAAAAAAAATCAGCTTCCACCTTCGTGAATGCAGTTTTAACGATTTTGTTGTTACATAAAGTGTAAGAATTATTAGCGTGGACCTAAATGTGAGAAATAATATAAGCAACAACACAAGAATCACACGCATCTCAGTACAATGGTCTTAACATTTTGTTATTGGCTATACTGGGAATTTCTTACAGGCGTCACACTTACAGATCCAATCGTAATCGCCCAGTTCTAAGTCTGCATTTTCCGTTTTAGGCAGCACAGGGAAGATACATTCAGGGGTTACATTAGCGTGGAACAGTCCGGAACGGAGTTCTGCCTCTTGAGGATTCAAGACATTAGAGTTTCTGGCCTTCTGATTGAATATCAAAGTAGATTACAAGAGGAAGT